ATAGGTGCACAGGCGGGAAAATCTATCAATTCAAACAAAACATAAGGAGTCAAGGCACACAGGCCGCTAACTAGGCTCACATGCCAACAAAACATAACGTCTATACAGGACAGCTAATCTATCTAGCGATCCACGTCTAGCGCTCTCAGACGTCTACTCAAAACCTGTAGAACAAGGGAAATAACATGGGGATAACACCCGGTCAGCGAATCTTGCCGGTAACCCATCAATACGCGTTAAATAGCATATATAGATAAGTATAAATCAAAACCATTTCGAAACGGAATATAGTATATAGCATTTCAAAACCATAGAGAGAAGTTAACTTCAAAGACTCATCAAACGCTCTCAAAGAAATGGGAATTACCAACCTCACAACAACGAAAAAACATCAAACATGAAAGACAAACAACTCAGGATGTATTCTACTGATCACAAAGTAGAATACATCAAGACATGCTCATAAGCAAGGAATTCACATTCACACAGTGGCAACTACATGCCACAGTGACAACTACATGTCACAAGTATCATAGTTCCAACCTTATGCCCTGTTCCAACCTTATGGCTACCCCCGGCCTTATTTCAGTTCCAACCATTACCTCCAAGCTACCCCTGTACTTCTGAGTCCAACCTTATGCCTCCAGGACCGTCGTCCCCCCACCAACATCCACCTACATTTCCACCTACATATCAATACACGAGGGTACTATTCATTTCACACTACCACCTACATGTGAGCAAAGCTCAAGTAACAACCACCCACATATAAATCATAGTCACACAAGTCATCATCATTACCGAGAAGATAAGGCTCAACAATAGCCTCAATCAAGTATCAACAAAGGGTACAACGATTTGCATACGTTCACATCATAGGAATCAATCAAGAGATCACAATGAAGACATGAGCCCATACTCAATCAACAAAAGATTACAATCCAACACCAAATGAAGGAACAAACCACACATACTAGCATTTCAACATCAAACTAGCATGCTTAACAAACGGGTAAACAAAAAGTAGTTCCAAAGAACATTCAAGACTCACAATTAGCCCAACGGACCACAAAGTTGGACCCTTAGCACGATTCAAGACACCAAATCCTACATGGATTCCAAACATAACGTTCTAGACATACGAAACATTAAGAAGACTCGCAAATAGCCCAATAAAACAACATCGGGAGGTCAAAACATCAACACCAAGTCAAAAGAATCACGGGGAACAAATCCCTGCCAACAACCACAAGTGTTCCCCGCGGGTAGGGCCACGGGTGGACAACCACCCGTGGTTCCACCCGCGGGTACATACCCACGAGACCACTTGTTCCCCGCGGGTGGGGCGGCGGGTAGGGCCCTGCCCGCCGTTCCGCCCGTGGGTACACCCTGTACTCCAAATCATCCCTTCGGGGGTTTTCAACAACAAGTCCAAATTCAAGTCCAAAATACCCAAAATGTCACACACAACAACAATATGACTTGAACCCAAGAAATAGCCAAGCAATGGCATTCAAGGACCCTAAGAACAAGCTCTAAACATGCATCACCACAAGACAATGCATCAAATCTCACAAATCAACGCAAGAATCACAAGTAGAAGCCAAGAAATCATCATATAAGTAAGAAAATAGGTTTTGTAAAGCATGGGTTACCTTTGTAGCCTAATAACTTCCTCTTTTCACCCTTAGTAAGCATTTCCTAAAGCTCCTCTTCCACACCAACTTCATACACAAACCAAAAGACAACAAAGATTCTATCTTTAGAAAAAAAACACCTAAAAGGTGGTTAAAAACATCAAAAGGCCAGGGATCTTACCCTCCCCTATGCTCAAGATTAAGAAAGTAGGAATCTTGGAAGCCAACTTGCAAGATTTGGGATGCTCAAATCCTAGCTTGGAGAAGAAGCTAACTCTTTTTAGAGAGAGGCTAGAGATTTTTGTGTATAGATTGTAGGGTGAATGAAATGAGAGAGTATGGCTAGGTTAGCTTGAATCACCAACTTTAGGTAAAAAGACATTCCAACCCTTACTAAGGATGGAAAGACAAGGGAACAAGGGCACAACTCAAGAAGCACATGGTACAACCCTTTTACTTAATTGACTAGTCAAAATCTAGTCCCTCGACTATTAAATTTCAGGATTTTTAGGAATAAATTAGCAAAGAGATTAGGATTAATTCTCTAATTAATCCTTGATTAGAGTTTGGATTTACGAGGTGTCACATCCTCTCCCCCTAACAAGAGTCTTCGTCCCCGAAGCTTGGGCACGACGGGTTCAAACAAACGAGTAACAACGAGTCATAATGTGTCAAAAGGCGGGAAACAAGAATACCATTAAACAAGACTTCAAGGATTCCAAAAGGTGTAGGATTTTCAAGAGTCAAGAAAATGCATGGTTTCAAAGGGTCACAAAGGAAGATTCTCGAGCAACAACAACACTAATACCATCACAACGATAACTAAAAGCCTTCTACACCACTCCTAAACGCAACACAACTAGATTCTAACAAAGCAAAACAACCTAGCCAACTACCCAAACAACAAACTAACAAACACGGTAAACAAGAAAGAGCAACTAAGCACAGCCAACGAGCAACAACTACTAAACGACAACCACAAACGAGGGAAGAAACGAGCTTACCCCAACTCCGGCTTAAGAGGACTCACCCTCCGACTCATCGGCATCCTCGTCCGAGTCTTCCTCAGCTCCACCACGGCTAAAACCCGCCTCCAACTTATCTATCCTCTGGTTGACAGCAACAAACTGTGCCTTCATGAAAGAGAAGCCTTTCTCAATCATCCGATTCTGCTGACGAAGGAGGGTCACCACACGCTCCTCGTGTGTCATTGCATCGTGCTCCTTTTTGGTTCTCACTTCCTTCCTCCTTATGTTTTCTTCACTTTCGGAGTCACTCTCCTCGGCGTCCTCTGCTTCTCCTCCTTCTTCTTCATCTTCTCTCTCTCCTTCACCTTCGTTCTCAACATCTCCACCCAAGCTCTGAACCGCTAGGTTCAACTTTCCAACAGGAATCTCAAGCTTTGCAACCAACGATCTCCTCTCGGCAGGGGCTTTTCTGGCGACCTCTTCAAGAGTGATGTAGTCACCATTATCCAGCTGAAACAGGTTGTAACTGCGGAGATTTGTGGCATCCAGAACCATCTTGCCCACTGGCTTAGGCACACAACCTTCAACTCTCACCCCCTTCCTAACGAAGATTCAGCTTAACACCATGCCATAGGGCAAACTCTTTCGGTTATGGTCTCGACAATAGACCATATGTTGCAACATCAATGAAGGCAAGTTGAACTTCACTTTTTTCTTCAGACAGAAAGCAAGCGTGCACTCCAGCTTACCCAGCAAACGACTATTATTGTTGTTAGGCAACAAGCAGTCAGAAACGAGCATGACCAAAATCTTTTGCTCGGCAGATAACCACTTTCTTTCCGGCCTCGTGGCCTGGGTGAACCCACTAGTTCTTCCCAAAAGATAACTCAGATAATTCCGATAACCCATGTTGCTTGTCTCAATCCAGTCACCACTGTACTGCGAGACTCCCGTAGTTGTCAAACTCAAAAGCTGAGCAAACCATTTTTCGGTCAAGACCATCTTCACACCTCCCACCTTAGAGGTAACTTCCAACCTTCCACTATCTTTGGTCACACTCATGTGACGGTAGAATTCCTTTACCAAACTTGGGTAAGTCTCGATCCTAATGGCGAGAAACCCATCCAACAACCCTGGGAAATTCAACAACTCCAACAAGGAACTTGAAAAAGAGTCGGGATCAAAAGCTTTACCTTCCAAGACTAGGTAATGGGCATCCACCCACTCCACCATTCTTGCAAAATTAGACCTTCTAGGCATGATTCTGAGATGACCCAAACTTCTTCTTCTTCTTTTTCTCTTTTTCCTCCTCTTCTTCGGTTTCTCGGCGAGTCCGACAATAGGTCACGGTGGCGGCAGCTTCAGACGGCGACGACGGCGATGGCTTCGGACGGTGGTTGATCGACGACGGCCTGAGCAGCGACCGGCAGAGGGTAGTGGCGGGGGTTTGGGGTTTCTCGGCTGGTTCACGGGTAGGAGAAAGAGGGAAGGGTTTTGGGAAATTTTTGGGAAATTTGGAAAAAAAGAAGATTTTAATTTGGGGATTTTTGGGGTAAGTTGGAAATTATAGGTTAAAAAGAATTTAAGGGAATAAGGTTTAAGAAATATAATTGGTCTAAATGGTTTAAGGGTTGGGTTAGAAATTTGTAGACCCGGGTTCAAAACTTGTTAATCATGAATTAAATTCCCTTTAGCTTTTTAGGCTTCACTTTTAGAGATTTTCTAATGGTTGACTATTTTAAATTTAAATAATTAGGCTTAGATGACACAAAGGAGTGAGGTTTGGATTAAATGTATACACATAAAGCTCCGGAATTAAAACTAACACTAAGCCACTCAGAATGAACAATTGAATCACAACGGGAAACTCAATCAAAAGATACATGAGAATCACACCACAAGAGATAAGGAAAACACAAGAAGGCACACTCTCAAGGTAAAGGTAGGCTTAAGAAAGGTTACCTGCGGATTCTTCCTCCACTAAACCCTCAGACTCGGCCTGCGACCGGCCCATCATGAACACTCTACCCGTAGGCCTTGTTCCTGTCACACCTTGCTTGGAACTCCCTCTCGAAGGTCCACTAGGTCTCGCACTGGATGGCAAGGCTCTCTGATTAGCTTGGAGAGGGCATACGAAAGCTTTGTGGCCTCTTTCCCCGCACTTGAAACATCAGAGCGCTTGTCCTTGGCAATCCTTCCCCACGTGGTCCTTCCCACACTTCTTGCATCCAAAAGCCTTAGCTTGATCTCCATTCTCTACTCGAGTTGATCCTTGAGACGGAGAAGGTGCGGGTCTGGCTCGAAAGTCTTGTCTCGGCTTCTTGAAACCGTGAGACCCACTTCCTTCATTACTCTTCTTGGAAAAATCAAACGACCCTCGCTGCAGCTGTTGCACTCAATACAGATCGGCTGCGCTCAGATAGGCTTCATTCAGTGTCCTAGGCTTGCTCACGGTCAACGCCTTCCGGGCTTCGTAGTTGAGTCCTGCCACAAACTTCTCCACCTTTGTTAGCTCAGTGGGAACCAACATCCGAGCAAAACGGGCAAGCTCTAAGAAGCGCTTGTGGTATTCCACCATGGATGACGACCCCTGCTGAAGATGTAAGAACTCCTCGTACATGGCGGCTCGGACGTGTGATGGATAGAACCTCTCCCTCATCTTGTCTTTCAGGGCTGACCAGTCGAAACCAGGCTCTTCTTGACACGCGGGGCCCTCGTGCACCCACCAGAGATCAACCTCATGACTAAAGTAGAAAGAAGCCAACTCCACTCGGCGATCCTCAGGACAACCCACAACGGCGAAGATCTTATCGAGGGATCGGATCCACTTCTCGAGTATCACGGGATCCTCCTCTCCGGCGAACACTGGCAGCCTATGCCCCGAGACTAGGCGTCCCACATCCCGATCCCTGGCAGGCTGCCGTGGAGGAGCAGGGTGGTTGTTATGCAGGAGGGCATCACTCAGCCTCTGCATCGTTTGTGTTAGATGTTGCAGGTTCTGACCAGCTACTAGTTGGTCGGCGTCTCAGGCGTACGGGCGCGATGACGAGGCGGAGCCATGGCGATACTTCTACAGAAACATCACGGTTACGGTAGGCACAAAAAAACAACGCACCCTTACCCGGCGCTAACGGCAAGAACGCTAAAACTAAACAGAAACAACAAAGCAACATAGTAAACGACAAACAACACACAGCTCACCATGCGTCCTAAGAGTCCTAAGTCCTAAACACCCAAGTACTTAAAGGTCATCTTTTGGTCTCAAACCACACTTAACTTCTTAAGGTTCAAATCCTAACATCCTAAGCTCAAACCTAGGCTTTGATACCAACTGTAACACCCCTGATTTTTACCACATTTTTAAAACTTAAAAGCATAGGAAAACATCTAAACATCAAGACATAACGCAACGGAAGCTATATAAAATCAGGGTATGTTATGCCACACCTATCTCAGACATAGGTGCACAGGCAGGAAACTAATCGGTTTAACAAGTCATAAAGTATCTAGGCACACAGGCCACAAAAACAAAGCGTCTGCCCAGGACAACTAATCTAACTAGCGATCCATGTCTAGTGTTCTCGGGCATCTACTCATAACCTGTAGAACAAGGGAAACATAACATGGGGATAACACCCGGTCAGCGAATATTGCTGGTAACCCATCAATACGCATTAAATAGCATATATAGACAAGTATAAATCAAAGCCATTTTCAAACGGAATACAATATATATCATTTCAAAAGCCATAGAGAGAAGTCAACTTCAAGGACTCATTAAACACTCTCAAAAGGAAAATGAATCACCATCCTTACAACAATAACAATACAAGAAACATGAAAGACGATACAACTCAAGATGCATTCTACTGATCACAAAGTAGAATACATCAAGACATGCTCATAATCAAAGAGCACACATTCACACACTGGCAACTACATGCCACAGTGACAACTACATGTCACAAGTATCACAGTTCCAACCTTATGCCCTGTTCCAACCTTATGGCTGCCCCCGGCTTTATTTCAGTTCCAACCTTTACCTCCTAGTGCCACCCTGTACTTCTGAGTCCAACCTTTTGTCTCTGGGGACCGTCGTCCCCCTCCAACTCTCCTATTAACCGCCGAACTCTCAGTACACGAGAGTACCATTAATTTCATTCACATAGCCTCCAACAGGTGAGCCAAGCTCAGATATCACACCACCAATTTCAATCATAGTCACACAAGATCATCATCATTACCAAGAGGACTAAGGCTCAACAATAACCTTAATCAAGTATCAATCAAATGGTACAACAAGTACATACCTTCACATCATAGGAATCAATCAAAGATTAGAACAAGGACATGGAACTATACTCAACAACAAAGGATCACAATCTAACACCAAATGATTGTAAACACAAGTTGCCAATCTCATTAAGAAGGAACAAACCACACACACTAGCATTTCAACAACAAACTAGCATGCTTATCAAACGGTTAAACCAAAAGTAGTTCCAACGAACATTCAAGACTCACAATTAGCCCAACGAATCACAAATTTGGACCCTTAGCACGATTCAAGACACCAAATCCTACATGGATTCCAAACATACCGTTCAAGACATACGAAACATCAAGAAGACTCACAAATAGCCCAATACAACAACATCGGGAGGTCAAAACATCAATATCGAGTCAAAAGAATCACGGGGAACAAATCCCCGCCAACAATCATACATGTTCCCCGCGGGTGGGGCCACGGGTGGACAACCACCCGCGGTTCCACCCGCGGGTACATACCCACGAGACCACTTGTTCCCCGTGGGTGGGGCGGAAGGTAGGGCCCTGCCCGCCGTTCCGCCCGCGAGTATACTCCAAATCATCCCTTCGGGGGTTTTCAACAACAAGTCCAAATTCAAGTCCAAAACGCCCAAAATCTCACACACAACAACAAATGACTTGAACCCAAGGAATAGCCAAGCAATGGCATTCAAGAACCCTAAGAACAAGCTCTACACATGCATGACCACAAGACAATGCATCAAATCTCACAAATCAACACAAGAATCACAAGTAGAAGCCAAAAATCATCATATAAGTAAGAAAATAGGTTTTGTAAAGCATGGGTTAACTTTGTAGCCTAATAACTTCCTCTTTTCACCCTTAGAAAGCCTTTCCTAAAGCTCCTCTTCCACACCAACTTCATACACAAACCAAAAGACAACAAAGATCCTATCTTTAGAAAAAGATGCCTAAAAGAAGGTTAAAAACACCAAAGGACCAAGGATCTTACCCTCTCCTATGCTCAAGATGAAGCAAGTAGGAATCTTGGGAGACAAACTTGCAAGACTTGGATGCTCAAATCCTAGCTTGGAGAAGAAGCTAAACCTTTTTAGAGAGAGGCTAGAGGTTTTTGTGTTTAGATTGAAGGGTGAATGAAATGAAAGAGTATTGCTAGGTTAGCTTGAATCACAAACCTTAGGTAGAAAGACATTCCTACCCTTACTAATGTTGGAAAGACAATGGGACAAGGGCGCAACTCAAGAAGCACAAGGTACCTGTAACACCCCGTGTTACGGCCTCTAACCCCGGACTAATTATTTAATTGATTCCTTTAATAATAATTAGAAAGGATTTAATTGGGTTAGAATTCCCTTTAATTAATTGATGTGGCCCACCATGGAACATGGACCCTAATCCTTAAACCAAATCCTTAATCCTATAAGAAATAGGATAAGTGGATCCTTACTATTCAGACCCTAATTGGGACTCCTAAATCAATATATAGGGACTTAGGAAGCATTTAGAAACCCTACCACAGTTAATTCTACTACACAAGTTATTCCCAAAGAGAAACCTACAGAGGAATCCCCCTGCCATCAAACGTAGGAGAATCTACAGAAAGAAGATCTTAGAGAAAGAAGCTTAGTAGCCAAGGATATTGATTAAGGCTAAGAGGTAACCCATGTCTCGACAAAACCTATTTTCCTCGCTATATCTTATTCATTGGCTCTATTGATATATGATTCTATGCTTGAGTAATGATACAGCTTTGCCTAGGGTTTATATTGTGTTTATGTGATAATCTTGGTGTTTATGTGATGATCTTGATGTTTATGTGATAATATTGATGTTCTTGATACTATGATTAATTATATGAACAATCTTGTATTTCGATTATGTCTAGAGCCCTAGGGTTATAACGTGGATTTCGTATTGTAATACTCTTGGTATATTTGGGTGGGATGTTGCATGATCGGGTGTTGAGTCTAGTCTAGGGCTCGTGTTTAGGACTTTTCATATAGATTTCTTTATGTTCTTGCGATTCTGGATATCCCTGGATCGTTATATGGTTTATGTTGAGTCTTGGCATGTTTAGGGATCATGTTAGGATGTATTTGGTGTGATTCTTGGTTTAATTCTGTTAACTGAATACGTGGTGTTGTCGTTATGTGTTTAAATGTGTTTGGACATGGTTTCAGGTTCCACGAGAGATCCCCGGGGGACCGAAACGTTACCTATGAGTCAGTAGGAGATAGGTGGGGGCAGGGGTGCCCGCCACCTACCCGCTGCCCCCTTGCCCAGTTTCTAGTTGGCAGGCGACTGCCCGCCGGGCACCCGCTGGAAACCATAGCCGCCGCCGCCGGGTGGTCCTCCACCCGCCGCCCACCCGCTGGAACTTTGGTGGGTATTGTGATGTTTTCCCCCGTTTGATGTTTCCCCGTGTCCCGTTGTGTCCCGTTGTACCCCATTTTTCGTGTATGAGTCTCGTTTGGTGTTTTAGGCATCGTTCTAGGATTTTATGTGTATTACGTGTCATTGTTGTTGTGTCTTGCTTGTTATGTGTTTATGTGTTGATTGATTGATGATAATGAGTATTGGGGTCATTGCGCAATGACCAGTGTGACTGCTGATGATGTTAATGATGATGATGAGATTGTGATTGGTGGAAAATAAACTGTTGGCAGTTGGCACCACATGTGCCCAGTCATTGTACTAAAGGTACAGGCCATAGCGGTGACTGTGCTAAAGGCACACACGCACCTTCGACTTGCTTGCTTTAGGCATGGGTCAGGTTATAAGTGTTGCGATGTCATGTTAGAGCTATATGCGCTAACCCCTTGGTGGTTGAAAGGTGGGTTCGTCGGTGGGGGCATGTAGTTGCCCAGAGGCATAAGGGGTGGGGATATAAGGGTGGCCTGGAGGTATAGGTTGGAACTGTGGGGAGAGTAGTATGACCAGTATGTGATATTTTAAGACTTTTACCGTCACCCGAGTGTATTTCATCTGGACCTCCGTAATCAGCAATGGTTTGTAATGAAGAGGGAGTTGATGTGGCGTGATGAGATGCGCCGCTGTCAAACAACCAAGGTTGTTGTGGTGGAACAGAAGCCATAGTAGCATTAGACGCAGGAAAATGAGTTGAAGTGGGAGCCTGCGAGGGACAAACATTATTGTCCTTTAAAAATCTTGCTAGTTTACGGAAAAACCGTGTCTCATGTCCTGGATAGTTACAGAACCTGCAAAACAATGCATTCCTACCATTGTTTGAATTGTTCCAGGATGAACGATTGTTCTGTCCATTAAAGCCTCCACGAGACCGCCGTGAAAATTGACCACTCTGGTCGCGACTAGAATTATTAGTCTTGCTAGTAGTACTCGGACCACCCTTCTGAGGAATATTGGCTATAGCGAGCATGGTTTGGCATTGACCATCTGTTGCTCTCAACAACCTTTCATGATCAGTCAAAATATCAGACAATTCAGCGAAGGAGATTGGATTCTCCCGAATCCGAATGGTTGAAAAACATGAATTGTATTCCTCGCCTAATTAGGTAATGACATATACAACTAAATCATCTTCAGATATCGGACTTGCATCCAAAGCTAGATCATTCGCAATGACCCGCATTTCATTAAGATATTCAACAATACTCCTATTTCCTTTTGGATTTTTTGCCAGTTTGGCTTTCAGAGAGATAACTCGACCTCGTGAAGCATTAGCATAGCTTGTTGTGAGGCACTTCCATGCATCAGAAGCAGTCGCAACAGACAAGATAATGGGTTGAATTGTGTCGGAGCAACATCCGAGAAGGGTACTAACAATAATTTTATCTTGGCGATACCACGCTGTGTATGCCAGATTAGTTACTGTATGTGCATCATCAGAAAATTGGTATGGGACAGTTACCGTTCCATCAACATATCCAATAAGATCAAGTCCTATCAGTGTGGACTGAACTTGTCTTCTCCAAACAGAAAAGTTGGAGGCAGTGAGTTTGATTGGAAAATGTGTTGGAGCATTGAGTTGAATTATGACAGTTTCTGTGGTGATGGCCATGACGGAATGGGAAAAAAAATAATTTCTCGTTGGAGTATTTAGACTCTGAATACCATGTGAAGTATAAATGAATGAATGGATGATTATTATTGAGCTTTGAGTGCAAATATATAGTACATCAGAGGAAAAGCTCACAGAAGAAATATCATGCAGTTACAATAAGAAGAAGACCTACTCTAAAGGAACCATAAACAGTTAGAGAATAATTGAAGTAACTAAGTACTAAACCAATGCCTTAATATTGTCTTCCTCTAAAATTCTAAATATTTGATTCCTACGGCTATGTCTACTGATTTTAGTGTTCTACTACTCTTAGCCGTCTCAATGATCTGGGCCTCTGCTCTGCCAATTGCCAAACGAAGAAACAGGAGAGAAAATTAGAAAAACTAAATTTTTTTTTCTTTTATTTGTTTCTTCTAATATTCTCAACAAATATGAATACTCAATACTATATAGTTATAATCTTCTCAGAAAATATGAATAGTGTATTGGTAATGGTAGTGATTAGTGAATGGTATAGAACGTTGTGGAATGGGGGAAACAGAACGTCAGTTTTAAATGTTAAATTAATTTTATGTTAATTATGAGGAGAGCGTGATTTTGGGGAAGGGAAAATCAGAAGAGTTGTAGACTTTTAATCGTTTAAGTCTTTGATTAATTATAATTTTATTTTTTAAAATTTCTTAACTGGTTAAAATTAAATATTGAGTCCTCAAAAATTAGGGGCAATGTGCTATTAGGCTGCTTACATAGCCCAAAATTCAGCCATATATATATATATATATATATATATATATATATATATATATATATATATATATATATATATATATATATATATATATATATATATATATATGATCATATGAAAACACATACCCCATGAAAACTAATTGTGGCCTTTGATCTTGATGCTGTAGATAGTAGTGATTTACTTAGATTTAGTTCATTCTTTATTTATGTGAGGGTGGTTTAGTAATTTTGAGTGCATATTTAATATTTCAATTATTATTTTTGAATGATTTTTATAATTATAGGAGAAATATTTTGGTATTATGGGATTCTACCAAAAGCTTTCCATTGCCATCTCTTCTCCATCTGCATAGCGCTAATCACCTTCTCCTCACCTAAAGCTTTAAGCGATGAAAGTGGAGGGCTTGAGCAACGACGACCATCGCTTTACCATTGGAAAGAGCAGTAACCATCAAAGGGCTTGAGCGGTGACAGTGTGACGGCGGTCACGACGAAGAAAGATATGCACTGACATCGACCATGCATAAATAGCAAGCGACAACGTCGACCATCAGAGAGTCTCCCTTCAATGAAGACATTATTGATGCCGGTGTGTGCATATATTAACGCCAGTGTGTGCAATTTTGTTCAATATGTGCATTTGTACTGTGCATTTGTTAGGGTGTTTTACCCCGTCTGTCCTACTTTTCTTAACAGTAGGTTCTTTGGTGGATGCTACTTCCTTGTTCTTTTTTTTTTTTTTTTTTTTTTGGCATGTAGTTTGTGTGTAGCTGTTATGGTCTTAACGTTTGGTGCCATTGGCTGCCAGTGTGCATGTCTGTTCACTTCAGTACGTGCATCTGTGCATTCTTCAAGTGTTTTGCTGACTCACCTCCGTTGTTTAATGATGATTTTCCTTTTGTGCATTTTTCACTTGGGGTGTGTGCGTGTCTGTTATGGTAATAATATATGAAGTTGTTGGCTATCGATGTTTGCATCTATTTACTTCAGTACGTGCATACATGTATTCGTTGGTGTGTTTTTCTACAGTTTGTTCTTCTTGGCTAAATAGTGAGTGCATATGTGGTTATATGTGCAGGCAAGAAGTCACGAGCTCGTCAGCCTAGTGGGGCCCAACCGCAAAGCTACACGTGTGATGATGACTTCGTGTCACCTCCGTTGACTTTTTTGCGACGCATGCAGGCTGAGCTAGAATGGCAAGCTCCAAATTACGAGTTGACGAAGGATGAAGTAGCTTTGTTTCCTAGTATGACTATTTCCTAGTATGACTACACGTGTCGCAGCCAAGCAGGTGGTTGTGCCGTTGGAGGGTTTCAATGCATGTTAGAGGGTGGCTGATAGAGAGACTTGTAGTTTTGATATACTGGACAGTTCTATACTTCTATGGTAGTCGTGGGTGTAATTTGCTTATTTTGATTTTTATTTCATGCATTTAGTTATGAACTCTTTATTGGTTTGAAAACACATTATCCTACATTTAGTTGTTCCTGCTTAATAATGTTAAAACAGTTCAAGGATATCTGCATGTTTTGTGTTTTGGGATGTTTCGCTACACACACTTCTGTGCACACATAAACATGCTCGTCACAATAGGTTTGCACACCGTAACACACATTTTAACACTTGGGAGAGTGTTTTTTGCCATCGATTTTTTTGCATGTCCACGTCTCCTTTTGCTATCGTGCATGCACAATTTATCTTGACCGCTTGCCGCCAAAACCATACCCGGCCCCTTGTTTTTGCACTCATTCTGTACTGATTTGTTTATAGAATGCACACACTATGTAGGAGAATTGCACGTACATCACACCAATCAACATGCGCACTATTCCAATTCTATTCTCTCACACACTTTGTGCCACCGTTGCACGCTCTTAAATGATACCCACACACCGTCTGTGTGTGCACTCGTCATGTATAGATGGTGCACCAGGCTTGTTTAACCTTTTCCCGAAGTGAACGTGTTGTGCCGAACAGATGCACGTATAACCTGCCTCCCACTCCGCGTACTACTACCTCTCTTTATTGTCACATATTATGTGACAAGGTTGCACACTCTGCCTGCAGGACCAAACAGCCCCTACGTCTTGCACACATAGCAGAGGCACGTTGCACAAACAGCACGCCAACGATTGGGTGCACTACTACCTATCTGTACTGTCACAAACTATTACGGTTGCACACACTACCTTATGGACCGCACACCCCCTCTGTTTTGCATGCATCATGTCCAGATGGTAATTAAAATCATACCTTAATTATGATTCGTAAAAAGATTTTAATTCAATTTGAATGGTGATTAAAATCCTCTAGTAATTACTAAATCACCCACACCATTGATATTGCTCACAAGGAACCCCCTCACTTTGAGAGGTTATTCCCACACTATTACTGGTAAAACTTGATCCCTGGTCATTCTTCCAAAGTTTCACCTCTGTGACCAGTTGAGCTACCCATACAGGTTACACCATTGATATTTATTAGATGGATGGGCGATATTTGTTCTCACCTTCTCACTTTGGAGGGTGTTGTCATTGGAACCCTCATCTATATATAATAGTGATGAGTAAGGTCGTACCCACATAGATTAGTTAGACTTATTTTAACAAAAGACTTAAACAAGAATGAGATGAGAATTGAAACTTAAATAGCAACAATAAATTGACAAATAATATCAAATATCAAATAATAATAATAATCAATAGCGACTAGTATCCAACCCAAGGCATAATATCAATTTAATTCTAAGAAGACAGATCATCGATATTCAAGACAAAATTACTTTACTTTTTACTAAATTGGTTATGGTTATTAACAAGCTCTAACAACCAATCTTTTCTTATTTTGTCGGTAATCTAAACATGCTCTTTGATTAATTTCCTCGCTAATAAACAATGCTAAACAAGCTCTTAGGATTTAATTTACTAACAGCATGATAAGAATTAGAAAGACTATCAATTCTAGCTACAAACTCGAAAACCCGGTTCATTTAAGCTAGATTATTTATCTTCATAACACAAATTGAAATCTATATATAATCAAATTGTGCTATTTGCTACTAGTTTTAAAACACTTAAACAATTACGGATTCAAGGTTCTAAATAGAAATTTAATACTTTGACAATTGAACAAAGGGCCCTTTTTGCAACAAACAAAAGTAATAATTTAAACAATAGTAACAGAAGATACATAAATAATACGAAGTAAAGATAAATTAAGCTAAATAAATCTCACTGGTCTTGAATAATCAAATGTCAATAAGCCTTGAATTGAAAAATTAGAATTTAGTAGTACATTGCAAGGAGTGTTTACAGACTAAATAAATTTATTCTAAGAAAACTGACTATGCTATACTGAAAAATTCATCCCTATTTATACTAGTTCAACCTCCAAAATCAGCTAAAAATAATCCTAATTTTCCTGACATCCACAAAATAATTCAATTTCTTCAAAAAAGCTAGTATGGTCTTCTTCTTCATTATCATTGTCTGGCAGTGCAATCAATTTCCCTTGATTGGTCTTTGGGGACAACGATCTGTTAGAGGGAAAGGTACTATAACACCACGAGCAGACAATAGACCCTCGTGACGTCAGCAGGGCAGGAAACGGAGTTGTTTCACTCCTCTAGTTTGTTGCTGGATTGTTAATTGATGTTTTAGCTGGAGAGTAATTTTGTTATTAGACATCTTCTAGTATAAATATGGAGTAGATTGTATTGGAGTATTATGCTTGGATTAATACAATTTAATTGTCTCATTCTCAATTTCTCTCTTCTTCTCCTTTTGCAACGTAACTCCCCTCATCTTTGCCTCTTCCGTCTACTTTTCTTTTCTTCTTTACAGCAATTTCCAGTCTATTTCTCTCTTTTTAGTAAATGATTCCGTCAAAGGAGATTTGATTTTTAATAATTTATTGGAAGTCTTCTTTAATTTCATCCCATCTTGGTTTTTGTGCTCATAAAATATTATGGTTGCCTGAGTCTAAATTTTTTGGGATTTGATTTGCATCGATAGTCTCTATGCTATACAACTCATTCTCCTTAAAAAGTTAAATTACTAGTGCAACAACGCATCCATTTCTAATGTGGGACAACCAACTAAGCTACTTTAACTTTCAATGATTTTTATGTATAATAATATATAATATATTATTTATATATACTAAAGCGTACGTACACACACATCAGAAAATATAAATATTTTTTGCAAAATGAATTATTTTTTTAAAAAATATTTGTTCATGTTTTC